ACATCTCAATTTAACATCTCAAAACATCCCAATTAACATCTCAAAACATCTCAATTTATCATCTCAAAACATCTCAATTTATCATCTTAAAACATCTCAAAACAACATCTCAAATAATCAAAATAATTCATCAAACATCATTTATTTATAAATCCCCAAACATTGTTTATTTATTAATAACTTCTCATTTATAACTCAACAGTATTTTAATTCCACAATAAATCAACACTGTTATTCTGTAACTCTAAAGTCAAGACCATCGCTTTCCTACTATTATAGCTCAAACAGCAGCTTCTAAGCATCTATGTTCATCGCTCTGCACAACACAACACAAGGCCCTCCAACTTCTGACCATGCAACCTCTAACCAACGCTATTTATAAGTACACAAATCCTAATGACGCAACCTCTGGGCGGCACAATCTTCTGACTACTATAACTTCTGACTAATGCAACCTCTGATCAGATGCAACTTCTGATCATCACATCTTCTGGCTAACCCCATCTTCTGACCAGTCACAACTTCTGATCATCACATCTTCTGACTAATGCCATCTTCTGACTAGTGCAACTTTTGACTAGTGCAACTTCTGATCATCACCGTCTTCTGACTACCACATCTTCTGACCCATACAACTCCTAATGTCAGAACTTCTATTTCCTGGTAATTCACGCAACTTCTAACATTGGAATCTTCTACCTTTCACTAGGCCATGCAACTTCTAACACCTACGTCTAGCATCAGAACTGTTATTTTCTATTCATCCTATTGTTCTAATTATTTGTCTGTTATCAACCTAATTAAGAACAGTACGCCTAACGCCATCCCTAATTGATTCATTGTTCTAGACAATAGCTTCTGGTATCCTTCACGTACAGTTCTGCGTTTTTCACCACTGTAACGTTTTGCGTTGTCATTACTGCAGTACTATATGCTTTCCATCACCGCATCTCACTATGGTTCCATAACTAAAGCCCTAAAACTTAATATATCATGACAATGCATCACCTATAATCATCTGATAATTCTACAGCGTTTTAACAACATCAAGACATCAATATCCATCTAAAATTCATTAAATCATCATCATACATCATCATATACATCCAATTCAAGAACTAGACAACAATCATCACTAATCCCACATACCAATCATCATAAACCCAATTATAGAGTTAGAACCCCACCCTTACCTTGGATTGAAGGTCGCTCTACAATTTCCCGTTGGATTCACGTTCTTACCGTTTTCCACTTTCTCTAGCAGCTTGCACGTTCTCTTCCAAATCCTTATTCTTCTACTGCTTCTTTTCTTTCTATTCCTTCTAACAACAAATAATAAAATAATCCTATTATTCTATTATTCCTTATTGGGCTTAAAACCAATACACCCCCCTTATTACTTCTATTTCTACAAGCCCACATCAAATAATATTATACTTCTAATATTATTTCACCACATAATATTATTATATCTCTAATATTATTTCTCCACTTAATAAAATAAATCCAATTAATTATAATACAACTTCTTAAATATTCCAAAAATAATTTAATTAAATAATTAATTAAATTATGGGCGTTACAAGAAACACGTGCCTAGGGAACCCCAGGTTTGCCATCATTGCATCCTAATCCCTAGGCCATCATTGCGCCACTACGTCAGTTCACTACCTGAAACACACTACCTCTTCAAATTCGAAGCTCACAACGACCAACTCATCATCTCCCCGCGAGAAAGGCACAACAGGCGACGCTCATGCTCCCCGCAAGTAGCGCCCCATCCCATGAGTAGGTGTTAAAGTCATCACTCTTATGCCCAGAAGCAACGACTTGGGGGTCTACTATTCTGGAGTGGCCCGACAGTCAGAGTGGGCCCAGTCTAAACTCCTCCTTCGGTATGACCCATACGACCACGACCCAGATCTCCCCTACCCTCTGTCGAGCACCATCGACTGTTTGTCTTCCTAGACCGGCACTGACCCACGATGATTGACGAGCACCTCTCAGTCTGCTCGACCTCAAGTCGCCCATACAACCAGGAACCGACCAGACTGTTGTCTGTAACCTACCTCCTCTTTGAAACTAACGGCTAGTTGCGGGCACACCTGCTCGGTATGACCAAGTCCTAGCAGTTACCTATTTTCACGGACCCGCATATGTAGATCCAAAAATAGGAACCAATGACCATGCACCATGGGTATTATATAAACCCTCACATATGTGAAGGTCAGGTATTGAATATTCACTATTCACCCATAAAACCCTAATATTCTGCTTGTATCTCTTTGCACCCACACTTACTTGATCGTCGGAGTACCTTGGAGGTACAACCCCCTTTTTCCTCCTCGACTTTTCAACCCGACTGAATATCATCATCCGACCATCTTGCAGATTTGGATCAACCGGTAAGATCAGATGCAATAGTGCATAGGGGTTGGGATAATATGAAAATTAGAAAATATTTAGCTATCTTAATGTTAGATACATGAGACCTTAGTAGTTTAGTCCCTTTATTTTTAACCTTTTGGTAGCTGGATCCTCAGGATCGCTTTTACTTGCTGATTTTTTAAATTAATCAAAATATTTTAATTTCAAAAAAAAAAATTAAATTTCAAAATTTAAAATGAGAGAAAAGCAATGAAAAGAGTGAGAGGAAGAGTAAAAATTGAAAGTTGAAAAAAAAATATTAAGAATTTGACACATGACATAAATTAGTTGATGAAGAGTGAATTAATTTAAGAGATTTGCTATTTAATGTTTTAAAAATAATTTTGAAATTAAAAAATAATATTGGTAAATTTCTTTCATATATATATATATATATATATATATATATATATATATATATATATATATATATATATATATATATATATATATATATATATATATATATATATATTTAGCTTACTTGATAAATAATTTATATATTATATTGATGTGAGGGAAATTAAGTAACCAAAAGTTATTGTATCACAACGTGAGTGAAAGCTTTCCCATAAACTCGAAATTAAGTAACCAAAAGTTATTGTATCACAGCGTGAGTGAAAGCTTTCCCATAAACTCACACTAGTTAGTTAGTTACTTCATGATGCGAAAGAATTAGTGGTCCCAACTCCTCTATATAAAGATTTGTTTTACTACCTTTCTTTTTTATATTTCAAAAGCCCCAAAGTATAACCTAGCAGCAGTTACGTTAACTCAACAACAACGCTGGTTCGTCTTTCTTTCTACTGTGGATGCGAGACTCCCCAACGGCAGCTACATGCGCCGTGTCTTTCCCGTCACATTGCATCACTGCAACTTCCACTTTCATTCATGGTTACTCATGCAACTATACAACATCATTTTCTCTTCTCTACTTGTGCTCTAGTAGCCTGAGTTGTACCACCAATGAGAGATGATTGCACTCAGCCTAAGTCCTGGCGCTCAACTTAGATTATGCCACAGCGAATTCTCTTAAGCCATTCGAAATTTGCTAAAGCTAAAATTCTATGTTTACCCGCAAAAGTACTTTCTTCACTAGCAAGTTACCTATTTTCTATGCTCTTCCTTAATCCTAATAAAAAATATATCAACATAATAAATCTAATGCAAGCTAAGATCTTTCAAAATATGAAAAATGGGATGTTACATCTGCCTCTTGAGGTGGTCAAGCTTGTTTATTTTGAAAAAAGAGTGATTAACTTTTTGCACTTTTAAGTAACTTTGTGGAATGAACTTTTTGTATACTAATCTACTCATTTATTTTATTTACCAGTTTGTATCATTGTCCTTATTTTTTCAGGAAATTTTGGAATAGCTCCTATGTTAGTTGCTGTGCCTAAAGCCTTTAGTAATCAAAACTCGACTGGACTTAACTCTACTCACAAGATTAATATTTCTGCTGAGTTGTGACCGAGCCCTTTAACGGTCTCGTTAGGATAGGAGAAAGAATATCTGTTGACACAGTCTGACCGTTTTAAGCGGAAGAGGCTTTCTTTGGAGAATTCATCATATTCTTCTGAATGGACCGAGGCTAGAATCTCCAAAGGTGCTTCTACTACAACGGTTATTCACGACCATAATAACTTGTTTCTCCAAAGTGAAGTTTTTAATTTTACCGGACAAATGGAGCCTTCTAAATTTGTTTCACTTGGTTTGGAGAATATCTTTGATGTCGTGGCCAGTAATGCGAAACTAAGTTCAGAATGGAGTGCTTGAATTTGTTCATTGCTCCATTTAGAAGCAACTTGTAGATGTGTTAACCAAGATTATCAAAACTGAACACTTCATCAATTTGAGAGATGAAATTGATGTTATTGATTTTAATTAGATGAATATGAATTAAGAATTGCTGTTAAATGTAATTCAACATTTACATTTAATTGACATTTGAGTTTTATTTGACTAGCATTTACATTTGAGTGTTAGTATATAAACTCATTGATAGTTGTATTTGTAATGAAATTCAGATTTTACATTTTGAGATAGAAAATTAATTACAGTTTCTTTTTCTTTCTCTCTGTGTGCAATTCTTTCATCTTTACCTTTTCCATCTAGTGCTTCAATGGAGGTTTTCTGCTATTAACTCAAACAATAACACGGCAAAACATTAATAAAAACACACAAAACCAAACTAATTTTATGACAAAATATTATTAAAAAATTGGACCACTAAAAAAGTGACGCATGAGAGTAAATTACTGGGCAACTACAAAAGTGACACATAGACAAAATATTATAATGATATATTTGTAGATTATTCATTTGTCTATAAATTCTTGATTTTAAAACTGTTATTCATTTCACATGTAGAGAAGAGAAAAGAAAAACAACGCGCTTTGTTCATCCTTAAAGTCAAAGGTACTGTTTCTTTTCTTTTTCTATCTCCTTGCTCTTGTTAATTCATTTTCTTAATCACCAAGAATTAGTATCTAACAATGATACTTAATAATTAAGGAATTGAGTTTTTTTAGGAATTCTAATAATTAGAGACTTAATCAGGATCCTAGCCCACTATGGATACATCTGACTGGAGAGCTCAACTGCTACCCGATTCACGCTCAAAGATTTCCGATAAAATGTAAGTTTCAGCTATGAAGCACGAACACCAGAAACATGACACCAACACTTACACAATAATAGTTTGAAAAAATAACACGGACACATACACATCTTTTTTCAGAGGTATTGGTGTTACGTAGAGTTTCAGTTTCATCGCCAATAGTTGAGTATTAATTTGAAATTTAATTCAACACTTTTTTGTATTATTGATTGTTGATTTGTCTCTCAAATTTGATGAAGTACGGTGCTCTGGCACTTTTGCAACAACCAGATTTGCAACATCTGGTAGTGGGAATCTGTTACATGTTACAGAGATTGAGAGATTAGAGGATTGTGTGAAAATATAGTGGTGAAAGAGTTTTGAGGATTCTTGTTGTTTTGGATTATAGTGGTATTGTAAGGGTTCAAGAGAAACCCTGGGATATCTGTATAATCTTGTAACTGTTCTTCATTATGGTGAAACTAATTGGTTTTTTACAATTAATCTTGTTGTGTGTGAGTCATTTTTTAAACGTCTCTGTCACTTGCATTATCTAAATGTGAAACAATTCTTTTTAATCTGTAGACTGGACACATTAAAAAGACATCTTCCTGTTTCTGGTTCTGAGGGTTTACTTGAACTTCAAAAAATTGCTCAAAAGTTTGAAGGCAAAATATTTATGTCTGCAATAAGTCAGGTACATTGATTATGAAGATTGTGAACCTCCATTTTCATTTATGTTCCTTTTACAACTATGCGGAAAATAGATTCTTTAACTAAATATCGATGTTCTTTCTTTTCAGTCTGATTATTTACGGCAAATATCCTTAAAGATGCTATCGATGGAGACTAAATCTCCCAACACCATTACCAACAATATACTGCCTAGTCAAGGTTAGCATTTATTTCCATATCTGCTCCTCGTTGGTCAATGTCCCTTCTATTGTGTTATTTGTAGATTATCTTTTGCGCTCGTTAATGTCCCTAAGTATCACAAAACTATAATTATAACTTAGAGTGAAACATACTGATAATTCAATAATTGTGTTGCACGAACCTCTTTTGATCAATAGGACCCTAATCGGTATTTAACCAAGAAGTAAGTAATCAGACAAATTAGAGTAATAAATCCAAATGATTCAAGCTATAGGGTCAAAACTGTAATACGCACAGAAACGTTGGCAGCACAACAGTTAGGTTAGATCGGAAGCTAGATAGATGAGTTGATGTTATGGGAGCTTGGAATTGACCAAAGTACTAATAGGATATTGTAAGCCATGTTTTTGCAGAAGAGGAGCAAAAAGAATTTGAGTTGGATTATACCACCTCAAATTCTCTTAAGCCATTTCAAATTTGCTAAGCTAAATTTCCATATTTACACATAAAGATACTTTCTTCTCTAGCAAGTTACCTATTTTCTAAGCTCTTCCTTAATCTTAATAAAAAATATATCAACATAATAACTCTAGAGCAAGCTAAGATCTATCAAAGTGTGAAAAATGGGATGTTACATCTGCTTCTTAAAGCGGTCAAGCTAACTTTTTTTTAAAAGAGTGATGAACTTTTTGCACTTTGAAGTAATTTTTTGTAATGAACTTTTTGCACTTTTAAGTGATTTTTTGGAAAGAACTTTTTGTATACTAATCTACTCATTTCTTTTATTCACCAGTTTGATTTCCAATGTAATCATTGTCTTCTTTTAGGAAATTTTGGAATAGCTCCTATTCCAGGAGGAGCTGTGTCTAATGACCTTAGGAATCAAAACAATATTGGGTTTAACTCCACTTACAAGACCAATATTTCCGCTGAGGTGCGACCAAGCTCTTCTACGCTCTCATTTGGACAGGAGATAGATTATCCGACACAGCCTGGCCGTTTTAAGCGAAAGAAGGTACCTTTGGAGAATTCTTCATATTCTTTTGAAAGGACGGAGTCTGGAATCCCCAAAGATTCTTCTGCTACAATTGGTACTCATGACCATAATAACTTGTTTCTTCAAAGTGAAGTTTTTAGTTTTGCAGGACAAATGGAGCCTTCTAAAGTTGTTTCACATGGTTTGGAGCACATCTTTGATGTCATGGCCACTAATACGATGTGGCTCAACTCTGTTGCTACCCAGGCTAAAGGTGTTTTTAAAACTTGGCCTCATGAGAAGATGAAATATGAAGAAGACCTCCAACGTCTGACCGACGAATTGCTGAATAAAGATGAGTTAATTGCTCAACTAAAGGAAGAGAACACTAAGTTGGCAACCAAGTCGGAGAAGGAAAAATCTGAGCTCTCATCCCAACTAGAATCTTGGAAGAAGGCTTGTGAAAATGCTAACACATTGCTGAAAGATGCCAATAAATCACTAGTGGAGGTTCGGAAGAAAAACTCTGATCTTGGAAAATCTTTTGGCAAGTTAAGTAAAATAAAAACAGAAGCAGTTTGATCTGGGTTTTGAACTGACCAAGTTAAGTTACTTGATGAAAGGTTTTAAGAAATTCTAAGCATAACTAAGAATGATGTCTTTTAGGATCTTGTTGCCACTATGATCCTCCAATTTGTATACTCTATTCAACTACTAAGAAAGAGAGGATGATAAAATCTTTTCATAGTTTTAGCTACAAGAGTTTGATTGACGCATAGTTTTAATATTCAGTTATGACTAATCTTTAAGTACAAAAACTGAAAGAAATATAATCATCATTAAATATTAGCATATAATGAAGTAAATATACATTACTATGTTTAGCCATTTAACATGATAAGAAAGATATTGGTTAATAAATGTTCTTCAAATAGTTGAAAAGACTAACTTTTGGTCATTAAAAAAGTGAGAGTAGGAAAAGGTGAGAGAAGTGAGAGTGAAAGACCCGGAAACCGGGTATTATAAAACTGGGCAACTAAAGAGTGAATTATATTAGTACATTTGTTGATTATTCATTTGGAAAAGATAAAGGGCAAATATGTATTAGTCATATAGTTGAAAAAAGGACGTGGCACACACTTCAACCATTGCCTAATTTCACTAGAAGAGAAAGGAGAGAAGAAAAACAACCTTAAAGTCGAAGGTACAGTTTTCTTTTCTTTTTCTATCTCTTTCATTATACAATGTAACTGCTTCATATAAGTTGTGTATCTGTACAAAAACAACTATTTCCCTTATTTTCATATCTTAAATGAATATAGAATGTCTTTTGTATAATTAGTGTTTTTGATTTGAATATTGAGCTTCAGTTAATTCAAATTAATTTTATGGATTCTAATAATTTAAGGTTTAATCATGATCCTGAGCTTGAAATAACTGGCCGAACAGTCATTTGATAATGAAATCAATGAAATCGCCATCAAACGTTTTTTATTCTACAGAAAGGGAAAGGTAAATATCGAGTAAGCCTGAGGAGGGTGAAATCAAGGTCGAACGACCAAGAGATACGGGCAAGGGAGTCTGTTACGCGAGGGGAAGATATTAGCACCCCACACGCTCGTAGCACTCTACGTATCCACTCTTGTTGTTCTAATCAAAGGGTGTGTAAGAATCTATATCTAAACTTAAGAGCTAAAAGAAAATGCAAAGAGGGAATGCATGCAAAAGAAAAGAGAAAATAATGTAAGAAAAAATAAAGTTGTGTTCGTTCGGGCCCTACCCCAATGCCTACGTATCTCTTTTAAGGAATCAGAGCAGTCGTAGTTCGGCTCACATATTTTGGTTGGTTTGTGTTTTTTAGTTAAAAAGACAAAAGTGATAATCAAGAGGGCAAAACATCAGATAAAATGATAAAACAACAGCAACGATGATAAAACATCAAAACAAGGACGACAAGACACCACATGGCAACACAAACTCAGATAAGATGATAAAACATCAACATGATAGCAAGATATCAGATAAGATGATAAAACATCACAGCTAACGATGATATCAAAAATCAAAGTAGGATAACAAACATATGCAATGGCGAAACATCTACAAAAAGATAGTAAAATATCATGGCAACAATGACAAGACATCACACCTAACAATGATATCGAAAATAAAAGTAGGATAACAAACATATGCGATGGTGAAATATCGGTAAAAAGATAGTAAACTATCATGGTAAGGATGGAGAAACATCAATTTAAATGATAAAACATCACACCTAACAATGATATTGAAAATAAAAGTAGGATAACAAACATACGCGATGGAGAAACATCGGAAAAAAGATAGTAAAATATCATGGTAAGGGTGGCAAGATGTCAACTTAACAAGATTTAAAACAGAGTCAAAAGGCGCACAAACAATTAAGATTGGTTTGTACTTTTTACCTTGAAGAAGGATTTAAGTTCATTAGAGATGTTTTATGATTTTCTAAGAAAAAGAAGGTTTTTGTTTTAAGATGCAATATACAAAGAAAAGAAAACAACTAAGAGAGGCTATCCTAATATCTAGCCCTAGTGTAATCATACAATGATGGTCCTATAGTTGAGTTTTGAAAGAGAAATCTCTACCATATGTTAGTATGCGTGGATAGATATCCTAATGTCTAGCTCGAGGACTAACCCTACACAAGCAATCCTAAGGGAGCATGGCATACCAAACAAGTAAGAAAACAAGTGCTTTGGCAAAAGCACACAATCGGGGTATACTGACTTCAGGGGATGGGGGTATGAAGAGAAATACTTTATCTAAGGGGAGCGGATCACCTAAAGCAAACCAGCGGGAGACAGATGAAATAAGAAATGTGAAGTACAAAGTGACTGAACACCTAACTAAGATATACAAGATCGAGGTAGATGACAGAAGACAATATAAACGATCACGAAGTGTTAGCATCGGCCAATACAAACTCTTGACAAAGCGTGAAGGTTTGATTACAAAACCCTTCCCCACTTGACGGATTCGATACACAAGATCAGAACGACTCTGAAGCATCGACGTACAATGCGAGCTAAGAATGACACGGACTAGAATGTGCGGGGGTCAATTGCGAATTCTTCCTGCTTGCCTCCTTTTGAGGACTTATCATCAGTAATATAATGTGGGCACAAATTTAAACACACATGCGGAATACCTACTCCAAAGATAGGGTTTCAAACAAACACAAGTAGCAAATAAGTCACATATGCAGAATTGCCTTAAACAGGTCTTTAAATAAACCAGAGGGATTCCTGACATGATCAGCAATGGAAATCTCCGTCATACATCTCTATTCCTACTTGACATGGCAAGGAAAGCGGAAAAAACCCTACTTCTCATGACCTCTAGAAAGTGGTATATGCTGAAATGAAGTAAACGAGAGAAAATACCGAACAAATAAAAGTTCGTAGCGTGGCAAGCAAAGCAGAGAAACCCGAAAAACTTTGAGTAAGCTTCACCCAGCAACGGAAAAGAGTAAGAGATCAAATTCTCGGAATAAGCGTCAAAATATCGTCGATGTGAAAATAAATCACAATTGAAATCTCAAGCACATCTGTATATCACACGATAAACCTGCATAAAACTCAGATCTCAATAAGCAACGGTGTATCACAGACCTCGAGTAATCGAATAATCCCGATTTAATTCCAAAAAATCAAATAAAAAATCTAACAAGATTTATTGATTTTATTATTTTTTATCATGAGAAGAAAATTCAAACAAGTCTAAACAACTAACAAAATTATTTAAAAGGAATTACTAAAATAATAAACAAAAAAATCCCAGGGATTACAAACTGAATCCAGAAGTGGCATGCTGAAATAGCCTGGACGTTGCAGGCCTGTTGAAGAGAAGCCCAGAAATTCTTTTTTTTTACTGCAAAAACGGGTTCAAGAGGGAGGTCCAAAAATGATCTGGGGCGTGCTGAAGAAGTCCTGCGCTAAAGAACCATCAGGCTGAGTGCATTAGCCTATTTTTTGCACAATCCACATGCTCTCAAAAAAATTTCCTTTGGACCAAGGACGAGGGTGGATCGGTCCAAGCATCATCTTAAAAAGTATACAATAGGCTCAACAAAAACATCAGTTGTGATAGATCCATAATCCAAGTTTCAACCAGATTTTCTATATTTCAATATTATATAAAAAACAAATCAAAGAAAAATAAGAAAATTGTAAAACGGTGACCTATGGATAAGGTTCACAATATTGTGATGTTCAGATTCTCCGAACTCTCCTCTCAAAATCATTGCGTTGCGACTGCCTCTTCTATGACGATCTCCACTGTCAAAGCTCCATGTCTTATTCCCCTCCATTGATTTCAGTCTTCTTCTCACTTCTGTTCGATTCATTTCACAACCTCCGTCGATCTCTTGCTCACGACAGCACGACTTCGCCCCATCTCAAATTGTTCGTCTCTCCTCTGATTTTGTTCCTTCTTTCTGTAGAAATCCTTTCGCCACAAGCCTCGCTTTGTGTCAAGTTACTTCCCCTTTATAATTCGTTTTCACTTTGTATACCCATTTGACATCAATTGCCTTCTTGCCTTGAGGCAATTCGATAAGTGACCAAGTGTTGTTGTCTTCGATAGAGTTCACTTCTTCGTTTATTGATTTCACCCACTTCGAATCCTTCAATGCTCCAGCTGCATTAACGGATTCGACATCTGCATAGAAAGCATAATGTACCAGCTCACCTTCATCATCTATCACATCATCTAATGTAATCACACAATCTTGCAATCTAGCAGGCATGCGTCTTGTTCTTTGAGGTCTTCTTGTACTTGGTATATTTGTTGGTTCCTCTTGTCGAACTTCTCTTTCGACTTGAGTTTCTGGTTCTTCGAATAGGATTCCCACTGAATCTTTCTTGACATTATCAGTCAAATCCGATTCTTTAAACTCATCTATGATCACGTCCCTACTGATCACAATCTGCTTTTTCACTGGATCGAACAACTCGTAACCTCCTGTCGAATGATATCCAACTAGAATCATTTGACTTGACTTGTCATCAAGTTTTCTTCTCAACTGATCTGGCACATGTCTATGTGCAATAGATCCAAATACCTTCAGATGACTCAAGCTAGGCTTCACACCAGATCAACATTCTTATGGAGTAATTCCTTCTAGCTTCTTTGTAGGACATCTGCTCAAAATATATGTTGCAGTCGAAACAGCTTCACCCCAAAACTCTTTAGGTAAATTCTTGCCTTTCAACATACTTCTCACCATATTCATGATGGTTCGATTCTTCCTTTCTGCAATTCCATTTTGTTGTGGAGTATAGGGTGGCATCACCTCATGCACAATCCCTTCCTTTTTACACAGCCTGTCAAAGTCTTTCGACACATATTCTCCACCACCACCAGTTCTCAAAACTTTGAGCTTTCGACCACTCTGTCTTTCGACCATAGAATTAAACTTGGCAAATACTTCTATCACTTCACTTTTCTTCTTGATCAGATAAGTCCATAGATTTCGACTGAAATCATCTATGAATGTAACAAAGTATTTGTTACCTCCCATCGAATCTACCTGGATTGGT